CAAAATTTGTTTTTATAATATCTAAAATAAATCGGGTTTTGGGTATTTCTCATTTACACTCAAGTTTGATGGTCACTCAACAATAGTTCATAAATGGTTTAAGTTAGAACAATAACTTTGAAATCAGATGATAAAATATCTATTTAGCTATATGTATACAAAATAAATTTTATCGTAATAGAAGCAAAAATAATACGAAAACATCACATGAAACGATAAAAAACGGGGTCATTTTTCGCGTTCTCATCGTGTCACACCCTCGGTTGCAATGAAACATTTGGTTACTGCATTCACAATTTTCATTCAATTTGTATGTAACATATACTAAAATCATCGTAATCAAAAAAATATCTTCTTATAATTATTTCGAATTGAGAAAGCGAACGAAACGAACGTTGGTCACACGATTTTAGGTACCTAAAATTTTGAGTAACAATACAAGATTGCCGTTAAACCGAACACCAGCCACCAATCACAGCGTTCTATTCGGTTAACGTCCGTCGTGCTCCGGCCATTGCGGAGGTGAGACAAGTCGATCGTCGCTCCACGAAAAAAATACGTAAGTTTTTGTGATTATCCATAGACATACCGTCGCTTGCTTGAACAACATTTTCTACCTCTAGTATTTAAACAATTTAATTGAAACTTAGGCTATTGAAAACTTAACATATTAGACTTATTTGTGTAGTATTCGGCTTGAACCGTTAAATTCAAATTTAAGAGTTATTCATAAAAAAATAAATTTTTTGTCACCTTCGTGGCATCACCTTCGTGGTGTTTTATACACGAAGGTGATTTTAGGCCACGAAAGTGATTTCTTGCTTTGGTTTATTTTAAAATATTATTATAGTGNTTTGTGTGTAGCATATACTAAAATCATCGTAATTAAATATATTTTCCACACAACAGTCAAAAAAATATCTTCTTATAATTATTTCGAATTGAGAAAGCGAAATTTATTAATCTAAGGAAATACGTTGGTCACACGATTTTAGGTACCTAAAATTTTGTCTAGGTACATTATTTTAAGTCCTGCTCAAACTGTGAGCCCCTTCTAATACAAGCTCGTGGTGGCCGGAGATGGACCAGACCGACGAGTCAATTATCAGGACGACGCGGCCGCGCCGGCCTGAAAGCCGTGCAATGGGTGGCTCTGACGGCGTTAGCCTACAATTTATGAGGTAAACTAGCTTTCCGCCCGCGGCTTCGCCCGCGTGGAATTTTGTCTGTCACAGAAAAACTTTATCGCGCGCGTCCCTGTTTCAGAAACCGGGATAAAAACTATCCTATGTTCTTTCCCGGGACTCAAACTATCTCTATGCCAAATTTCATCAAGCGTAACAGACAGACAGACAGACAGACAGACAGACAGACAGACAGAGTTACTTTCGCATTTATAATATTAGTTGGGATAGATACGAAAGGGTGAAATTTCACATCACCTCGATCAATTTTTTCTGAGCTATTTTGGGTACCAACATCCTTTACGCGATATAAATAAATCTTTTATTATGAGTAATCAAATCCAACGTAACTCATGGATTTCAATTTCATTCAGTTGTTTGAGTTAAGTAGGACTAGTATTTTCGAATAGAAGATACTAGAATATACTTTATGTAATACTAGAAAATACTTTATGTACCTACATAAATAATTTACATTAATTAAGTTTCAACTCTTCAACTTCATACTATTACGCTGGAACCAAAATAATACACTTAATTAAATATTATAAAAAATATTAATTCTTAAACTAATGAACGCAAATAATCTGTTTCTACGGTGTTTTTAACGATTTTTGGAGCCAAAACGCGGAACACAATTTATTCGTAGTCGCCTTTGCTACGCCAAAGTTTGCTACGAAATTCGTAGCAGCATAATGTAGTCATTTAAATTAGACGGGTATTTTACTCCTTTAAATTTTACTGTTTATAATTACTAGCAAATATTCAACTGTAGCCACGTATGTGACAGTCGTAATTTAAGTAATAATGGAAATTATTTTAAAAGCTTCAAAATAATAATAAAAAAGTAAAAATAAGCTTCATAAAAGAAGAAAGTAAGGTAAATAAAAAGTTAAGAAGTAAAGTAAACCTCTATTCAAAATACTTTTATGAAGTTAACAAGAAAGTATTGTGTGTCTAAAGGACGATAATATTAACATTTTAGGATTAAATGTACTTGAACAACAAGTGCTTGATTTTAAAGCACCGTTGTTTCGACGCGCGCGCGTACACCAACACAGAAGAAATTGACTTGGGATCGCAAGGGAACCTCGAAAAAAAGGGGATTTAATGAACTGTGAGCGCACATAAATGCATGTGAACATGTTAGTAGATTGTGCACTGTCTTGCTTGTGTGAATCAGCCGGGAGCCGACACAAGAGGCGCTAACACGACGAATGTTACCGCACCGCTATTCTGCTAATTTGTCGTCGCGGGCGGGGCGCGGGGCCGCTTCCGGTGCATGTGCAAGACAATGCTGAATGGACCCATTAATAGCACAAGTGAATGAGCGTAAGGACTAAGGACACATGTGAACATGTGCGGCCGCAGCCCACGACTCCCGCCCGGACACATGCACATCGATACATTGTCTTATGCAAAAGGACGGAACTTTACGTTCATTCATTAATTTGTGTAGGATTTCGGAGAATCCCCTTTTTATGATGCGAAACAAAATAACGCATTTCTTAGAACGGAAGTTGATAATGCGTGCACTCGTAAACTTTGCACTTGGAAACATTTGAACATGACTCCATTCAAATTACCGATACTGCCATAAGCACATACTTGGTGCATCATATTTATCCGGTAGGTATTTTGTCACGCCCTATCTTTGTGTGAAATCTTTTCTTTTACAAGCGCAAAGAAGGTTTTTCGAAGTAATATACCTAGTAGTTTCAACAAAAACTTTACAGCCAGTGGGCAAAAAGGACAATAAAAAATACCTAGTTGGAACAAAACTCTTTCAATCGCTTTTACGTGGAGTTAAGTGTTATTTTTGGATTATTGACAATTGCAAGAGATAATATCGCTTCCTGTTCTCTATTACTTTGGTGGAATAAACTCTAGCGCGTACCTGCAGTAGGTACAATGGCATGGCAGGTACGGTGGGCCCGTCAATTTGTCCGGCGACTCACCGTGACCGTTATATTGTGTGGCTGCGACGCGCTGGCGCCAGATACTCTGCTCCATTGTGCATTGCCCATTACCTATTCTCTAACAATAGTCAGTCACATCCTGGGAGGCACTTCGAGCTGACAGTACTCTGTATCGGCAATTGAGACGGAAAGATCCGACTCGGTGGCGCTTCTTCGAAACGTCCATTCATTTAGAAGCGTATTTACCAAATGACAATGTAAACAAAAATAACATTGAAGCGTGAAAGTTTGGGGAGTTTTTTCTCATGGCCGATTTAGTCAATGATAAGAAACTAATGTAACGTCTGTTAGCCCACGTTCGGTATTGGGTTTATCAGCGTATCGGCCGCCGGATATGATCTGTCTCGCCGCCATCCCGACTGTTATCGGCATAGACTCAATAAACTCTATTCATAACCCAATTATTTCAACTTTAATATGCTCGTATGATTTTGCAACATGAGCTAATCAAGCGACCCGCATGGGGTCCGAGTTAGACGACTTAATTGTGGACATAAATAAACTTAACGTAATGACTGGTGGTGATACATTTATGCCCTCAAATAGTGGTCACGTGGCTTGAATTCGCCACAATTGCCTCGTCATGCGAAATTAGGGGTACCCTGATCAGCTGAATGGGATACAATATGACGTGATTATGTTGTCCAATTTACCCTGTAACTCGAAACGACATGCTCGAGTTGATTTAATGTTTTATAATTATTGGTGGACTTAGACAAAGACTTAAATATCTGCGTACTATTAAAATCTTGTATTTTAATTAATTAGCCCCAATCATCTAGCCAAGATCGGTAGTATGTACATAGGTACATACTCGTATACCTATGTAGGTGCATACAGTTACGTAGGTGGTAAACAATGTTACAGTGACGATTGAAGACTAAAGTCTGAAAACCAAGACAAACATGTAATCACAATTCATGCGAGTTATGTCTTCTTTTATATTATAAAGAAAGTTTTTGATTCTTTAAACAAGGAATTGCTTGTAAATCCTATAGGAGATGATAGAGTCAATATACGAGTAAGTATGTGTAAGTACACGTGCCGATTTCGTGATAGCTCGTATACGGATAAATATGGATGTGTGTCAGTAACCAGTTCCCATGGTTGTTGCACTTCCCATGGATGTATCGTTCGGCAAGTCTGTATTTCATGATAAGCCATCTTTAGCATAGTACTTACACGCCATAAGTGACTTGTGCTAGCACTCGTACTTCATGGAGTCAAGGGTGTTGTAATAAATATATTATTATCTAGGTATATGTTTGTACAATAACCTACGCCAAACCAAAGAGAATAATAAAGACTAATAAAAAACGATTTCTAGAAAATACTTTACTATCTTTTAGCTCATTCATAATTCCGGTCGTGTACCTACCCGTTTTGGAGCGTATGAATACATCATTCGCCCGAGGAACTGTCGTTAAAAAATAACCAATGCAAGCCCAAACAAATGATAAACAATTAGCATTATTACAGCGGCGAATGGAAACAAAGCAACGCGAGATGGGTTCTTCTTGCTTGCGCACACGCATATAAACACGTAACAAAATAAAACGTAAACGACATTCTCCCGGCGAGTGCCGCGGCATATTATACGTTATTTGTGTTATACATTTCACGGGCCCGACAAGTGTTTGCATAGTCAGGTGGAATTTTGTGAGCACATCCACCGACCTGCACGCAGGATTCCAGAGCAGACGTCAATTTCAAAATTATGTATCTGATGAAGTTTACTCACATCGCACCTTTATTAAAACCAAATTCAAGATTGGCAAGATTTGCAACACCCAATTTAACGCTTCAGGAGGCAAACTTTATANTTATTATAGGATCGTACGTCGAACGACGCGCCGCTCCGCTCTCTTGTAAAATTTGCATTTGTGAAAAGTTGTTTTACGTTTACGTACAATGGCCCGTACCAAGCAGACCGCTCGTAAGTCGACCGGTGGTAAAGCCCCGAGGAAGCAGCTGGCCACCAAGGCCGCTCGCAAGAGTGCGCCCGCCACCGGTGGCGTCAAGAAACCACATCGCTACAGGCCCGGTACCGTGGCCCTCCGTGAGATTCGTCGTTACCAGAAGAGCACTGAGCTCTTGATCCGCAAGTTGCCGTTCCAGCGTCTCGTGCGTGAAATCGCTCAGGATTTCAAGACCTGTCTGCGTTNAATTTTGTGAGCACATCCAACGACCTGCACGCAGGATTCCAGAGCAGACGTCGATTTCAAAATTATGTATCTGATGAAGTTTACTCGCATCGCACCTTTATTAAAACCAAATTCAAGATTGGCAAGATTTGCAACACCCAATTTAACGCTTCAGGAGGCAAACTTTATATAGGTACCCACTTTTAATCTATTACCTTAAACATTGGAACAACGATGCTGGTAATTTATTACAATAAATGTTTTCACTGCAGGGGGTCTTGCGATGGAGAACGTTTTGTTGTTGAGAAATGAAAGGATATCGTTGGAAAAATAAACCTCACCATATTAATAGTGTCGAGATAGACGATCATTATGGCCGCGTTGAAATGGATTACGGCGAACTCGTTTATTGATGACCCTCGAAATTGTTTACAATAATTACTTTAAGATGTACCTAACTGATAAGTATATGGTAAAGAATGAGAGTGAGTGCAGTTTCTTCTTTTCACGCTCAATTTCTATAATATAAACTATTGAATTACGCAAAGCCCATGAAGGACAATCGAGCGTGGGAGCGGTCCCGGTGGTATTCTCTAATGGATCCTCCAAATCGTGTTATTACTAATTTGGGACAACAATGGCACGGTACAATGGCACTAACCAATTTTGTGTAATGGGGCTGGAGGTAGCCTTTATTGCACTTTTTGGGAACACTTTTATTTATCGACATAAATATGAGATCGAATTCTATTTTATAGTTCTTTATAAATATTTACAACTGTTAAACGCCTGCGACTTTGTAAGTTTCATCAAAGAGGGACTCCATGGGTTTTTGTTTAGATGAGTGAAAAACTAACATCCATTCAGCTATTAGTTACATAAATGATAAAACACTTTATCTGNTATATGTACCCACTTTTAATCTATTACCTTAAACATTGGAACAACGATGCTGGTAATTTATTACAATAAATGTTTTCACTGCAGGGGGTCTTGCGATGGAGAACGTTTTGTTGTTGAGAAATGAAAGGATATCGTTGGAAAAATAAACCTCACCACAAAGTGTCGAGATAGACGATCATTATGGCCGCGTTGAAATGGATTACGGCGAACTCGTTTATTGATGACCATCGCAATTGTTTACAGTAATTACTTTAAGATGTACCTAACTGATAAGTATATGGTAAAGAATGAAAGTGAGTGCAGTTTCTTCTTTTCACGCTCAATTTCTATATAAACTATTGAATTACGCAAAGCCCATGAAGGACAATCGAGCGTGGGAGCGGTCCCGGTGGTATTCTCTAATGGATCCTCCAAATCGTGTTATTACTATTGTATAATTGTTGACATTTTTTCAGATTTGGGACAACAATGGCACTAACCGCGATGTGTAATGGGGCTGGAGGTAGCCTTTATTGCACTTTTGGGAACACTTTTATTTATCGACATAAATATGGGATCGAATTCTATTTTATAGAAGTTACTTATAAATATTTACAACTATTAAACGCCTGCGACTTTGTTAGTATCATCAAAAAGGGACTCCTTTTTGTTTAGATGAGTGAAAAACTAGCATCCATTCAGCTATTACAGCCGCAAACTTGCGTTTATAATATTTGTAGGATTAACTCATTGGCCTTGTCTAACGATAAGTTACATAAATGATAAAACACTATCTGAATATTACATTTTCCGGAATAATTCCGGTCCAACTCTGCAGAAAAGCTTGATGCGCGTTGCCTAGGTTGTGGGGCGGCTAGGGCGCCTCTCGCGGCGCCCAGGGCGGGGGCGGGGGCCGCCAGGAATGCGACTTCGCGAGTATCACACGCCCAACATGAGTTGATCTTTTTTAAAGGGCGCGATTCCTGGAAGTGTCCGGAGAGCGGTCGGAGGCTGGCGCTCGCCGGCCATTGTGGCGCGCGGCTAGTTTTGATCTTATTGTTAATGGGACGCCAGGTTTTTTCATTGGTGCTCGGAAAAAAGGTATCATCAGACCCCAGCGGAAACGTTACGGACCCTTGTGAAGTAAAATGGATACACGTTCTACGAAGAAGGTGTTATTTTAATCGTAGGTCGGCTTTGTTGTTCAGGAATGTAGATGGCCTGTCATAATTTTAATGGGCAGTTTCTCAGGCGCTCTATGAACTTGATGCAGCAAACGTCCTGAATATTCATCTCCGCTCAAGCTAGAACATCCATAGCAATCGGAATGTAATCTTTAGTATCTTAAGGAATGAATGTTCATTTCTAATAATGCGCATCACATGAAACGCAGAACCAACATAATGACGAGCGTATGCGAGTAGATGGTCTTCTACACAAATGGATGGATTGTCGAATATTGTCTTTTGGCCATTATGAAAGAATAGGCAAATCGTTTCATGAAAGCTGTCAATGAAAGCAGTTTCTGGAGGAACTCGAACATGAAAGCTCTATCCGAATGAGTCATTATATCAGGTATCATCAATAGGGGCACATTGATTGAGCAGCCATAGAAACGTTCTCCACTTCTTTGTGTACGTGGAGTTATAAAGGCCAACATTAATGAATAAACCGCACACGACGAGCCTTATAATGACACGATAACCGGCGGCCGTGTAATAACACCGCTCCGAGAAGCAAATCTACATGCGTTCATATCGTCGAATTATCTCATTCCACAAAAATGCTCATGAATTTAGAGTCTTTCGCTGAACATACCGAGGTAACGTATATCTGAACATAAGTATACGATAAAGTTATAAAGTAGATAACATTTAATTGACTATAAAGAGGCCGCAAACGTGAGGTCTAAAGGCATTTTTTCACAAGTCCCTTCGGGCTCCACTTCCCATCTCGCTCTCTGGCAAAGCATAATGAGTGGTTGTTAAAATTATGAATGGAACATCTTCCGAGAAGCTGCGTTGTGTGCAGCGGCGTGTGTCCGCACGGGCACGCACACGCGCGCGAGTGGAAGGGTTAGCTGCGCCTGCGCCGGGGAGCGTTAGGACAACAACATCCAGTCTGGCTGGCCCTGGAATTCGCTGTGTTGTATGTAGGTACGTCACTAGTGGTGGACTCACCTCATCGGATTCGGATACTCGCACGATTTTTGGAAAACAAAGCTTTCTCTATGTTTGTACGAATATTATTTGTCTCTACATTAAACTTTGTGAGTTTGTTAAACGTCCTTTACACATGGATGGATTGGATGGTAGGCTCATTTGTTAATGTTTATCTAATGAGCTGATGATTTATCAGATAAATTAAAAAGAAGTGTGCCAAACCAAGAAAACCTGCTTTTGTCGATTTGGTTAATCAATCTTTCATCAATATTAATTGTAATATTAACTAAGTGACTGAACTAAATATAGATTTTCCGCTTGTGCCTAATGCTCTGTTTTANTTATTGTATGTAGGTACGTCACTAGTGGTGGAATCACCTCATCGGATTCGGATCCACGCACGATTTTTGGAAAACAAAGCTTTCTCTATGTTTGTACGAATATTATTTGTCTCTACATTAAACTTTGTGAGTTTGTTAAACGTCCTTTACATATGGATGGATTGGATGGTAGGCTCATTTGTTAATGTTTATCTAATGAGCTGATGATTTATCAGATAAATTAAAAAGAAGTGTGCCAAACCAAGAAAACCTGAGCCCCGATTACGGTAACTTTTAACGTCTACAATCCAGACGCGTTTCTGATTCTGCAATACGATTGGTCAAAACAGCTGACGTACGCTGTTGAACGACCAATCGTATCGCAGAATCGAGAAGCGTGTCTGGATTGTTGACGTTAAAAAATACCGTAATCGGGGCTCTGCTTTTGTCTATTTGGTTAATCAATCTTTCATCAATATTAATTGTAATATTAACTAAGTGACTGAACTAAATATAGATTTTCCGCTTGTGCCTAATGCTCTGTTTTACTTTTGTCTACTACTCGTACGATTATGAATGACAATAAAAAGATAAATAAACGAACATATTATAGATTTGTAAGTAGTGATGTTCAGTAAAAATAAATACTTAAACGGCGATATACATAGATGTCCATATGCTTAAGAGATGATGTCAAAAATATCTAATTAGTGAGGGATTAAGAAGGAATGTGTGAGATATCGGAGCTCAAACAAAGGCCGTAGGTGCTTTGGAAGAGACGGGGTGTGTGAGAGGCCGAGTCCTTGTGTGCGTTTATTAAAGGAATTTAAAGGTCCAATTACTAGCGAGCCGCCTTCCATTAACAACTTTATTTATAGTGAGATGAATAACTTGCGGCTTTTTAATCAATCATGTGGGCTACCTAGAGACATCCGGTGAGTACGACAATTGTCCAATAACTGTTGATCATTCCGCCGTAAAGCATGCATTCGCTTGCTGCACGGTGGTGTTTAAATGAAATGAAATTATCCATCACTGCGTAGTCCGCCCAGAGGAATGTAGTCCTACATGCAGCCCGCGTTATAATACACATTATTCATGTAGCCGCAATTCGGTACACTCATTTATCTAAAAAACCGCATGGTAATATGGCTGATCTTTTACCAACTAGATTATCAAAACCTACCATTTGAAGTAACATGTAAAGTTTAGCAACAATAGTCATAGTTTTGTTAGTCATATGGAGATACAAAGTAGTTTACCTAAAAGTTTCTAATGCCTAAGTATATAAGTCACATGACTGGTGATTAATTAAACTTTTCTCGAGAGAAATGAATGAGAAAAAATGTTTCCATTCAGTAACTATTAATATATGTAAACAAAGTTAATTGACCGTAAAATCCGTAAATTGGTTACGATACTGTTAATGAGCTTTGTAACTATTCGTTTAATAGAGTTCTAGTTTTGGTCTAAGACATTAAATTATAAAGACCGTATGTATATTACGTAGAAACTAATATGAGGACAAATATAGGTAACTAATTAACAATTAATTAGAACAAGCAGATACTGACATGGGTAGCCTACCATAAAGATATTTAACCTTTATTATTGTAGTTATAATTTATTTGTAGTTATAGAATCTGTTCTTTATCTATGCAATCATG